GGAAGGATAAAAACGGCCGAATTCACTTTACTACTGAAGTGGAAGTTAGCCACTCCAAGTTCTTTCTGGACATGCTGGTAAAGGGATCTCTATCGTTTAAATTTAAGGTTTCCGTAATATCAAAGACCAACACACTCCAGTTGATACAAACACATGGGTCATGTGTCCTTCCTCGATTACTTAGGAACTTTGTGAAAAACTTTGTTTACGAGCCCGAGCCCAGGAGACACGTGCACTAACACTTCTGACTTAAACGCAGAAATCCAGCATCCTCGCTAAGCTTTTCTAAAGAGCGGTTACCGAAGGATCATCCTTGACGAAGAACTTGCACCCCTGCTCATTTAAAGTTGGCTAGTTCATATGGACCAATCGTTATTTAACCGTTCATACCCCAGGTATCTTAACGTACCACGAGAAACCTTAATGACACGTCTGCTACAAGAATGGCGTAACATTAAGCAACATATTATTTAGAAAAGTATTTACCCATTAATAGCCCTAAAGAGGTGTTAAGCATTCAATACAGTTCAGTTTAAAGTTTAAAATTCAGTGCAGACTAGGTGTACATCGGCCAACAGGAATAACCAGAAATTGAGCATCCATATAAAAGAATGCCTTGCTGCGGTCCGCCTTGGATAAGATGACAGTTCTGGTATTGCCCAGCATACGATTACTGAAGGGCATTTTTTAGTCTGACCAGTGCATCTGTCATAGAGAAAGACCTATCTAAATTAGATCTGCTGAGATAGGAGTTCTTGCATATTACTGGCAATGAAAAGCCGGAGGTGCAACGAATATACATCTTCTGTTGTCATCATTGAATGCTGAGGCGCAGTCGGAATTGATACGCAAAATCGGGTTAAAGTCACAACGATCTGTCTGATTTACTTTTATATGAACGTTATTCTTTGTTCAGAAAGTTTAACAACGTTTTGACCGTATGTGATGAACCAGTTGAAAAATTGGTATTGTTTGATTGATGGACATAAATGAATTCAAGCAGTCATTTCATCATGCTGCATTCTGTGCAGTGAAAGGCTTTGGCATTAAACTGTTTACTATCAGCTGCATTTGGTACTTCAAACCATGAATCATTTAGATAACTAAGTATATAACTACGGGTTCAGAATCAGATACTTGAAGATCTATTTATTTTAGGATTATTACTTGTAGATGCGGATTAAATTATTAGGAATACTTTAATGACCTAAACATTTTACTAGGATGAACTTGAGCCAACTTACCGTCTCTTTCATAAGTATGGGAATGCATGTTTTGAAGTATTTTGTAAAGGTGCCTAGCCTACAAACAACACACCGATTTTCACATTCGCGCTCGTAATACAATTTGCATACATGACGCTGGTATGAACCTCACTAAGACAATTAAATACTAGTTTTGTAAGATGTGAAAATTAGCGTTTCAGGATATATAGCATGCCAATATATTTATGGTAAATTTTTGCATACAAAGTTTCTTAATTGTGCTGTATCTGAAATTGTTTTTGATGATTTACTTTTTAAGGTTCACCGTCATATCGGCCTTCGCATTCCAGTGTAAAAGAAACTCATCATCGTCCTGCAAGACACGATAACCGTGAATTGCTTCGCAGAATAGAAATTCGTGCTGCTATGGAAAGGTATGAACCTCATGATGGTCTTTTATAAGAAAAGAGTTTTTTAGAGAAAGAATCGCTAGAATTCAGCGGCGAATGATCGGTGAGTAGCTTAGCAATTCTTAGAGTTGAAGTAACGCGTAATTACGGGTATTGATTATCCCAATATTTTCATTAGAGAAGGTTGTACGAAAATGCAACTTTGATCAGTGTTCACTCAAAAATTTTATTACATTTTGAGGATACTAATTTTTTTGTACATTTATAAAATGATCGACAAAACAGGAAATGTATTAAAGTATTAGGATTAAGGGATACGTTTTATATGCATGTTATTGAATCTTGCACGGCTGTTGAAATATACTGCCATTCAGTTTTTGGGATGAAACTTCAATGCATTGGAAATCTTCCAAGAATCCTGAGCTTTCTTAGCCGCTAGATGTGCTATATATATATATGCAAGTTAGAAATACTCTATAAAGCGGATAACCGATTTAAAATGGTGATCGATTTAAAGAAATGGTAACAAAAGATAATATGACAGTGCTCCTGAGAAAGGTTCGCA